AGGAATCAAAAACCTCTAAAAGTGGACAAAGACGGCAATATAAACCACTATCATAAGACCAGTAGTAACTTACGCTGGTGAGACTTGGCCCCTTACCAGAAAAGCAGAGAAACTGCTCAATACACGAGAGAGGAAAATCCTCAGGAAAATAAATGGCCCAGTGATAGACAATGATGTCTGGAGAATCCGTACAAACCAAGAGCTATATCAATAGTACATATAGACCCATCAAAAGTCGCAATAATTTTTAAAAAAGGCTGACTGCGCTGGACATTACACATTGAAAAGATGTCGGATTCTAGAGCAGCAAAAGGGATACATGTTTTTAATAATTGTAAAGCGCTTAGAGCTTTATGGTAAGCGCTATATAAAAATGCCTAAATAAATAAATAAATATACGGGCAGAAGCCTAGGGGAAAACGGCTGTCAGGTCGATCAAGATTGAGACGGATTCACGATGTAGAGAAGGACTTACAACAGTTAGGGGTTCGCTCATGGAGGCGGAAAACCACGGATTGATCCGAATGAAAGGATGTGGTGGAGGAGGCACGGACCGTACTTTGGCTGTAGCGCCACTAATGATGTTTGTAACAAAGTTCCAACAGACCAGCTCTATGTTGCGCATCCCTTGGAGTTGGTGTCCTAACATATTTCAAATATCTAACTTGTACAGACCAAGTCCCTTCCCCAGACAAAGCCCCTTCACGAACAAGCCCCCCCCCAACCCCACCCCTATTTATTCCCGGGTGACGTCAGTCTGAAATCTGTAAGGTTCAATCAGACAAAATAACTGACGGTTTTTCTTACGGTTCTCATTTCTTACGGCTCTTATTTCTTACGGTTCTCATTTCTTACGGTTCTCATTTCTTACGGTTCTCATTTCTTACGGTTCGTATTTCTTCATTTGTATCTTTAAATAAAATAACATTTGATAGCATGTACAAAAAAAAGTTTGATGAACATATGGCAGGATAACGTCCCTAATACAGAAGTCATACACAAAGCTTTCTTGGCATCCACATGTTCTTACAAAGGGCAAGTCAGATGGATTGGAAATAATGCAAAAAATCATACCAGCATTATGCCTAGACAACTAAGGTATAACGTTGAACTGTCAATAAGGAAACGCTACTTGGCGGCAGAAGCAAAAAAGCGCTCCAAAGATTGCCTAAAAGTGTACCTCAAATTCAAGGGCATTAAGGTTTCCAGGCACAATCAGGACTTAGCAGCTTCCTGCGTGGTCACCTTCAAATATAGCCTTGGTCATCTTCACATGCCACCTGTGTACTCCCCTTCAAATATAGCCTTGGTCATCTTCACATGCCACCTGTGTACTCCCCTTCAAAGATAGCCTTGGTCATCTTCACATGCCACCTGTGTACTCCCCTTCAAATATAGCCTTGGTCATCTTCACATGCCACCTGTGTACTCCCCTTCAAATATAGCCTTGGTCATCTTCACATGCCACCTGTGTACTCCCCTTCAAACATAGCCTTGGTCATCTTCACATGCCACCTGTGTACTCCCCTTCAAAGATAGCCTTGGTCATCTTCACATGCCACCTGTGTACTCCCCTTCAAAGATAGCCTTGGTCATCTTCACATGCCACCTGTGTACTCCCCTTCAAATATAGCCTTGGTCATCTTCACATGCCACCTGTGTACTCACCTTCAAGTATAGCCTTGGTCATCTTCCCATGCAACCTGCTAATTCATCTGGGTCATTTTCGCATGCGAAGGACGAGCAGAAAAAATAACAGGGTGGGTCACATAAAATGGTTACGCATCTACTGAGCGAAATCTGTGCCGTGGTGATGTGGTGATATTTGGTGATTACATCGATGGTTCTGCAAGAGGGTGACAGTTCGTCTGTTGAAATTCGATCATGATCATTTCAACATCGGCTTGTTGCTAGGGCTGAATCTGTCTGTGGATGCGCAGATGGCACATCAGGTTGATTCATGAATTAAATGCTCTGGTGTGGAATGTGCTAGTGGTGGATGGAACAAATCCAGGTCCAGGTTTAAATAGGGCTTTTCTTGCTTGTCTTTTGTGTTCTGCAGGAACGAGTCTGTTAGCCTCAAGTTGCATTGAGCCCTTGTGTATGGTACAGCGCCACGAGTCTCGATTCTTCCTGAACTGTTCCCACATGTCTGAAGCAATGTGAAATGCTTTAAAAAGCTGCTTTTAGCGTGTCTTTAGGCATTTCTTCTGCAGTGTTACCGCAAGAAGGTATACTTTATATGGCGATGTAACTACGTTAGGAGACCCACACTGCAGGTGTTTAAAAATGGTCGGTTTACACAAGTGAGGTCAGTTCAGCACGCCATGTTAAAGGATTTTAAAAACTCTCTGGGTAAGAAACAAAAGCCAAATTGAAAAAAAATATATATATTATCGAAATACCAAATTTGGTCAAGCTTTATACAAACTGCATGTTGTCGTAAAGCTGTTAAGAAATCAATGTCCCTGGTAAAATATTTTCTCTTTGTAATACAGCGTTTTTCAAAATCTTAAATTATAAGTTACCAACCTGTTACACCTGTCTTGGTCTAATTGGTTTTTTGGACAGAGGATTCTATTGTTACGATAAATAAGAGACTCAATGTGCCCCGTAAGAGCCAAGACCTAAGGAGACATATTCATAAAAACTTCGTGGACAAGGGAAAGAACTTTTGGAAATTTTGCAAACAATTTAAGAGCAATTACTCTAAAACTGCATAAAGCTCTGATTTTACTGATGACCAAGTTTTTTATTCTTCTAAAACTCCTGATAAAATATAAAAAAAAGTTAGAGCCATTGAGATTTGTGGTGTCATTTGCCACAACTGATAAGGGAAATTTATTTATTTATTTTTTTAAAAACAAGGTAAGCTACCCATCTTTGTCTGTAAACTTTATTCATAATTTGTGTTGTCTTTCCTGACTCACGATTCTTAGTTAAGCTGTAAGTGATGCATTTTGACGTGTTAAGAAAATAACTGTAATAGATAAAACAATAACAGATTTCCAATTAGAAGTTAGTGGGTAGAAATTATATGTTAGATTTTAGTAGATAAAATGATGTTTAAGGAATAATATAGAATTTAATAAAACAAATGGGAAAGTAAAATGTAGAAAATAGAATATACAATGTAGAAAATAGAAGGTATCATGTAAAAGATAGAAGGTACAGTATAGAAAAAAGCCTGTGCAGTGTAGAAGATAGAAGGTACAATTTAGAATATTGTAGCTATAATGTAGAAGGTAAAATATACAGTGTAAAAGAAAGAAGTTATCATGTAGAAGATAAAAGGCACAAGACACGGGGGGGGGGGGGGGGGTGGCTGGTTGGGGGGGGGGGGGCGGGGGCTTGTGGGGGGGGGG